GTATTCCCTAGGAAGGAGTAGGAGGGGTGGTAGGGGAGATAGTGGTGGGCTCAGCTGGCAGGCAGGATAGAGATGGTCCCTAGGGACCCCATCCCAGGGCTTGGAGCATAGCACAGCCGCCACCCAGATGTGATCATGGAGCAGGCAGGGTGGGGGCTGAGTTTCTGCCTAGGAAATTAGCCTCAGAGATGGTGCTTGGGACCGTTACCCTTGGTACCCAACAGCAGCCTCTGCAGAATGAGCTGAGACCAAATGTCTGGTTTGCAGAAGCCGGTTCTGAGAGAACAAGTGGGATAAGGATAGATTCTCTGCCTTCAGATTGGGCATTTCTCATCCCTCACTACCCACTATGTGGTGGGCTCAGTTACGCTCAGGGATTGAGCACCTGGCTTAACAGGCGAGGGTGTGCACCTAATTAATAACAAAAATCCCTCACTGTATGGATAGCACTTTGCAGTTTGCAAAGCCCTTTCAACTCTTGGCTAAGAATTAAAAGCCATGACCAAAACTGAGGTTTTTCAGATTGTAAAGCCTATGCCAACATTTCTTGGTGTGGTGTTGCATGGCACTCTAAATTTAGTGGCTTATACCAGCCTTGTGTCTATCTGTTATCGGCCAGCCTGAGATCCTTACTTGTTTTCAGGGTAATTATTATTAAATGCTACACATTCCATGCATCCAGCCAAGTCTCTTTAAATATGATGTGTCATTAGCTAGCACTTATTAGCCCCGAGATATTTTTATGAATCTGAATTTACTGGATAACATGGTGGTGGTGGTGCTGGTGGTGGTGGGGCTCCTGGTGTTTGATCTTCAGTATGACTCCTTCATGATACCAGGTTTCCCTGTTTGATAGGTGAAGGAAGCCTCTGAGGTACAGAAATGATCAGGCTAGAGCTCGCTTAAGCAAAAGCACAGCTGCACCTGAAGACCTGAAGCTCTCAAGAACAAGTGCTTTGCCTCTAATACACAAAAAGAACCTGACTCAACTGAGGCCAAGTCAACTGAGGCCAAGCCTCAGTTTTCTTATGTATAAAATAGGGATAATTCATTTACTTGTTCAACAAATATTTATTGAGTATGCATTGTTCCAGGAGACGAATAAGAGGGACAAAGTCCCTGCTTTCCTGGAGTTTACAGTCTAGTGGGTGGAGACAGACAATGAATAAATAAACATGTAGTAGAAAATCAGGTAGGGTAAGTGCTACAAAGCAAAATCAAAGCAGAGCAAAGGTGTGTGAGTGGGGGCTGTTTTAGATAGGGTAGTCTGGTGGTCCTCAAGGGGTTTTTACGATGTTTCAAATTGATAACTCATGTAATGTGCTGGCTCAGCGCTGACAGCAATCAAATGCTTACAAAAAAAAACCCATTGCCTTCGAGTTGATTCTGACTCATAGCTTAACAGACAGTATATTATTTTATATCAGCCAGACTCAGGCCTCTCAGATCATATTTTAGTCTCCAAATAGTTGTAATAATTAACACTTAAATAATATTTACTGAGAGCTAGGCACTATTCTAAGGGGCCCTGGTGGGGCAGTGGTTAAAGTGCTCAGCTGCTAACTAAAAGATTGGCAGTTCAAACCACCAGCTGCTCCGTGGGAGAAAGATGTGGCGGTCTGCTTTGGTAAAGAGTACAGCCCTGGAAACCCTATGGGGCAGTTCTACTCCAGCCTACAGAGTCATTATGAGTCAGACTCCACTCGAGGCAGTGGGTTTTTTGGTTTCGGCACTATTCTAAACTCTTTACATATTTTAACTCATTTAATTCTTATAATAACTCTATGAGGTAAGAGCCATTATTATCCCCTTTTATGTGGTCAGAAACGCAGGCACAGAGAGGTTAAGTACTTGACCAAGGCCCTGGTGGCGCAGTGGTTAAGAGCTCGGCTGCTAACCAAAATGTTGGCAGTTGAAATCCACCAGCTGCTCCTTGGAAACCCTATGGGACAGTTCTACTCTGTTCTGTAGCGTTGCTATGAGTCGGAATCAACTCCACGGCAATGGGTTTTTTGGCTTTGGAGGCTGAGAACTGAACCCAGATGGCTTCAAGCTGGTGTGTTCCAGTTTGAACCCCTGTTGAGAATTTGCATTTCTACCCCAGTATACTGAATCAGAATCTACATTTTAACAAGATCCCCAGGTGATTCTTATGTATAGTAAGTTTCGAGAACCAGTGCTCTACTAGTAGTTCTCAGAATTGGTCCCTAACCAGCGGTGTTGGCATCGCCTTGGAACTTGTTAGAAAAGCAAATTCTCAGCAGGGGTTCGAACCGGAACCCAGCAGTCTGTTTCCAAAGGTAGAGCTGTATAGTGAAGGAGCTGTGATTAGATACCAGGAGACAGCCTAGCTAGCATAATGGTTTATCTGCTGTCAGATTGCCTAGTTTCTTATCCTGATAGGTCTAAGCCTCTCTGCTTAAGTTTCTTCATCTCTAAAATAGGAATACCAGAATCTATTTTACCTTATAGGTATCATGCTTAGAACAGAGCCTTTCTTCAGCTCGGTGAGGCCCCAGCCTGTTCAGAGACCAGCCTGACAGGGAGTGTGAAGGTCAAGTGGCCCCTGAAACTTCTGGAGAGAAAGAAATGCATACCAAGGAATTCTCAGAGAGCAACCCTAAGTTCAGCTGGAGACCAGACTTTGGAAGCTAGGTCCAAGAATTTTGGTTTATGATTTTGAGGGTACCAGGGCACAGGTAGATTTAGTAGACCCTTGGTGGTGTAGTGGTTAAGAGTTTTGGCTACCAACCAAAAGGTCTGCAGTTCGAATCCATCAGGTGCTCCTTGGAAACCCTATAGGCCAGTTCTACTCTGTCCTATAGCCTCACTATGAGTTGGAATCGACTAAATGGCAATGGTTTTTTTTTTTTTTTTTTTTTTAACGAGTAGGTAAAGAAGGAGCTCTGGTGGTGCAGTGGTTAAGAGCTCAGCTGCTAACCAAAAAGTTGGCACTTCGAATCCACCAGCATCTCCTTGGAAGCCCTATGGAGGCAGTTCTACTCTTTCCTATAGGGTTGCTATCAGTCACAATTGACTCGATGGAAACGGGTTTGGTTTTGTTTGGTAGATGAAGAAAGAGGTGCAATCTTCGCGTGGCCACAACAATCGGTTTCTGTTTCAGGTCTTACACAGCTGCCAGGAGAGGTAAAGTCTCATCAAATGACAGAGTTGGGATGGCACCTGGAGATAGCCAAGCTAGGAGATGGGGAAACTGAGGCTGAGGCCCAGAGAAGCTGACCCAAGGTCGCTAGATGTATTAAGGTACAGAGTCAGGATCTGAACCGAGCCTGGGGTAGCCCGGTAGCAGCCTCTCTGTGGGTTCCGTTTTCTCTGAGGCTTCTAAATATCGGCTTCTCATCGTCCTGGGCACTATCTGCCTCACTCCCCACGTGGCTTACTGCAGGGTCCAGGAACACCCGGGCCAAAGATGGGGTTTGACCTGCGCGTGCGCAAACGAGTCCAGCTCCTTGCTTTTTTCCCCCTTTTTCCTTCCCTTTCCAGCTCTTTACTGACCTAGGAGAGGGGGGAACAAGAGGAGCCGGAGTTCGGCCTCAGCCAATGGGCTGACGGGCCGTGGCCCGGCCCCCTCCTTCCCTTTGGCGCCGTCCAATAGAAATTTACTACAATGTTGTGGCGAACGGAGGGGGAGGGGCACGCGCGGGCTGGCTGGCTGCAGGCACCGGCCTTGCCTCGCAGAGGGAAGGCTGGAGGGCGTGCGCCTGGGACGCTTGCTTGCTTGCTCTCTCGTTCGCTCGCTCCCTCGCTCCCTCCCTCCCTCCTCTGGTGGGTTAGTCAGTCACTCAGCCAGCAGCCTGAGAGCCCGCGAGCCGCAGAGGGCCCGAGCGGCGGACGTCGGCGCCTCCTTCTGCCATTGTTCGTCCGGCAGCTGCAGCGGCGCGCGCGGGAGCCCGAACTCTGGAGGTACTGGTGAGGCGCGGCGACCGTGGCACGCGAGCCAGGGGGGCAAGGAGCTGTCCCAGAGGACGGTCCTGGCGGCCGCAGCGGCGTCGCAGCCTCTTTGTCTCCAGCCCACCACAGGCCCCGGGCGGGGGGCGCGGGCTCTTTGGCCTCTGCTTGCATGCTGGAGCGGTAAGGGGCTTGAGTGGGGACGGTGAGGGGCTTCAGTGGGGACGCGGCCGGCCTGAGGAGAAAAGAGGCGGGCCCAGAGCTGCGGAGGAAAGGGGGCAGGGGCGCCCCGGAGCAGGGTTAGGCTGGGGGAGCGTTTAAAAGTTAGGCTTGGGGTTTATTTTTGACGAGGGATATCAGTCCCCTCCGGTCTGTCAATCTTTGTGCACTGGGCAGGAGCCTTGGAAGGAAACCAGACGAAGGGAAGTGCAGGTTTGACATGGTGAAGGTGTTGGATGCAGCCGCCGAGCGATTTTTTCGTGAGGAGGAAGCCTGGGGTATCTGGAGGAATCAGGCAGAATCTGAGAGGTAAAGGGAACCCCTGAAGGTCTTTTAGGCTTTCCCGCCATAGACACCTGCATCATTTAAAAAAAACAAAAAACAAAAAACGAACAAACCAGAGAGATCCAAATGCTTTCCCTTAGTCTTCAACGTCCCGAGTGACCAAAGAGTTAAATCGATTCTCTCAGCATCGTGACCTCCTTTTTCAGTTCGTGCATCTGTCGGCTTGGAAGTGTTTCCTGTGCTTGCTGGGATGCTTTTACCTGTGGAGAGACTGGATCTAGGCTGCCTCTGAGATTTATCACTAGGCTATTATTCCTCTTGAGGTTTGGCCAAAACGGGTTTATTCTTCCCAGGAACAGGCATTCTCCTGAGAGAGAAAGTGATCTCACGTGAAACAAATTGCTCATGGATTGTTTTCCGACCACATGATCGCGACTGTCATCCTGTGTTTCTCTAACTGTACCCTGCCACAAATGACTAGTCTGTGGAGATTTGTCGTTTTTTGGCCTGTGTTGCTGATAAGGAGATACTTCTTTTTTTTTTTTTTTTTTTAAGAGATGCTGAGGTTCTTTTTTTTAGTAGTCTGGGTGATTTCACAGCTGCTATTTTGTTCTTTCTGTTTTTAGGGAAAATTGCAAGAAATGGTTGTGTCTTGTAGCTTGGATATTATTATAGTGAATTTATAGTCTCTTGAGGATATTTGTCAGTGCTGTTGCTTATTACTGTTTTCTGTATTCTCAGTCCTGGCACAAATTTTAGTTGGTTTGGCCCTTTAATTATGAAGTATTATGTACGTGTATGTATATGTATATATTCTTTATATAATTCCTCCCATCCCAATTTTGTTATTGTAGCATTAACCCTTGCTTTCTATGTAAGGGTTACTTTTTTTATGATGTCTTCATTTTCGTTTTCTTTAAAAATTGAAAATATAATACATTCTTTACCAACTGTAAAAATTTTGGTTTATAAGATAGTTTCTTGGGGTTTATTAATGTAATCCATGTACATAGCAGAATATCAGGCACAGAGTAAGCACTCAATAAATGCCACGTTTAAAAAAATGGATATAATAACTGAACATCAGATTGCCTTGGAATCAAGGTGCTAATCCAAAGTGCATTCTACAAGAAGCTTGTAATTAAGGTGAAGATAGGCGTTATTTGTATCCCTGGGGAAACTGAAGTATATCTTTGCCACTTTTAAAAGTGAACTCACTGGCAGACCCAAGTTCAGCCCGCTAACCTGATTCTTCTTTCTTTTACTAACAAAACTATGATTTTTCCTTGTATAATTGAATTCAGACTTAGAAAATAGTAAACATTTTCAATTCTTAGGACTCACTAAAATTCTCTCAACATTTATACCAATATTTTATATGAAATGTCTTTTAGGTAAGCCTTTATATAATATGGCCTTGATCTACCTTTCCAACTTTATTCCTCTTATTCTTCCATAATAACCCAATGCTTTCCGTTCTCTGTACCTTTGGTCATGCAGTTCCATCTATGCTTGTCATACATATTTCTCCTGACTGATTTTAGTTCTCTTACCTTGTATATAGATGCTTAAAAATGTTACATATATTGGTAATTTGAAGTGTGGGGGGAAAGTGCCCTATGTGGAAGGAAGTTGATGGAATTTTTTGTTTAAAATTCTCTTTGAGCTTCATTAGTATGGCCAGGCAATTGAGTTTTCTCTAACTGGTGTGTGTTAAAAAGATTTAGGTCTTAAGTGTCCCATCAATGTGTGTAGCCCTTAGATGTAGATGATGGCTGATGATAAATTAAGAAAACCTTTTAGGTTTCCATTGTACATGGAGCTAAAATCGCTACCAGTTGACAAGTTTAATGCTTGGAACTGTGGCTGTCAGCAGATAGACTAAGCCAAGCGATGAAAATCTTACCTTTTAGATGGTCTCTGCTTGCTTTTTGCATCTGTTCTCTTTCTCAGTTGTCTAAGGGTCAATATTTCCTTAATGTTTTGTTAAACACCAAGATTATATTTATTGTGTTTGCATGGTAAATATGGGGAACAAACCTATGTTTTAAGTAGGTGTACCCTCAATATAATATCTAAAGTAACATGGTACAATATTTTATATAATAATAAAATAACACACAAATACTCCTTTTTTGTGTATTTGAAAGTGCTTTCATCTTATCTCCTTTCTTTTCTCCTTAAAGAACACTTCCAGGGTAATATCTAAGTTAACAAATGATTTTAAATGGTTCTGATCTCCTTTGAAAGAAGTAGTTGTGGCTTTTTGTTGAGATGCGAGCTTTGTACTTTTTCCTGTTATTCTCTTTTGTCAGGTTTGTGCCCCATCAGACAGACTATCTTGCCTCCTCCTATCTACTTTCTTGTGTGCAGCTTCAGTTTAACATTTTGAAAATTGCAGTTAGTCTTCCATCTTATTCCTTAGTTTGTGGTCTTAATTTTAAACAAAGTTATATTATGGGAGACAGTGTGCTGAAGAATGCTGTTTGGCTTCCTTTCTGCTTTTCTAATGAAAGTTTCAGAGTTAAGCTTGTCAGGAGCATTGCTTAAAGCCACAGGACTCTTGAATTCTCTGCAGATACTTTGATACACTTACGAGCAGCTTGTGATCTAAAGTATGCGGTATGTAATTTGTGATATGAGCCAGTAGGGCTTTCTTACATTGTTTTTTGAGTGTACAAATCCAATTTAATATGGATGATCTGATTTTACAATTTTAGAATATCAGTGGCGTCAGGGCCTGAGTTTGGTTCTGAAATCTGGAAGAGAGTACTTTTAGACCACAGTCTATTTCCTTGTTATCTAAGAAGCAGGCCAGCACAAGTGCTGCCTAGTGTATTTTTCCAAGAGTTTCATCAAGCTCGTGATCGGTCAAAGGCATATTCAGATGCAGATTCAGTGCTACCTCAAAAGGACTTGTTTATTTCCCCAGTTACTTGAACATGGAATCACCTTATTTCGTTTGTGAGCTAAACAATAACTCTAACAACTTTTTTCTTACGAACAACTTTGCTTTTTTATCTGAGTAAAGCCTCCAAAGGTGAACCATTTTAAAAAGAGGCCTCTGAATCTATCAGTTAAGGGCCTTATTTATGTAGAAATTAATTATTGAAAGGTAATTGATTCATTGTATTTATAATAGCTTCTAATTAGAGGAGAAGGAGCCCTGATGTTGCAATGGTTAAGCCCTCGGCTGCTAACCAAAAAGTGGTTCAAACTTACTAGCGCTCCGGGGAGAAAGCACCTGGCAATCTGCTCCCATGAAGATTACAGCCTAGGTAACCCTATGGGGCAGTTCTACCCTGTTGTATCAGGTTGCTATGAGTCGGAATTGACTCCACAGCACACCACCACAACAAGTTAGAAGACAGCCAGATGCAAATATACATGTTAAATTTTGTTGTTGGTTTAAGTTTGTTGGTATGTTACTGGTGGCTTACTATGTGTCCTTTTTATGAGTTGCTTCATGAAATGCATTCAGTAAAATGCAGTGTAACAAATGCAGTGACATGTACACTGGGTTAGATGAGTATTTTGATTGCTCAGCTGTTATTTAATGAGTACAGCAAAACCAAACCCAAACCCATTGCCGTTGAGTCGATTCCAACTCATAACAACCTATGGGGACAGAGTAGAACTGCCCCACAGGGTTTCCAAGGAGGCTAGTAGATTTGAACTGCCAACCTTTTGGTTAGCAGCCGAGCTCTTAACCACCGCACCACCACAGTGAGAAGGAAGAAAGCAAAAAACTGTAGCAATGAGCCGTATTTAGAAGTTGGAGACGTTAGGTAGGAGAGTTTTGATATTTTATATATTGAGTGCAGATCTCAGTTAGAATTTCCTCCCTGACACTTTACTTCAAATGCTGATTTTAGGAAAGTTCAATGAGATAATCTGATTATGCTGAAAGTCTCTTTATACTTACTTTTGCTATTTTTATTTAAATGATTTATTAAACCTTGTAGCATTTGAGAATAATTTGATTAGCTTTTTGAACTTTGGAGAAAAGCATCATATCATGATGTAGCCAAATAGAATTCAAGGAATGGCTTAAAGAGACTTTAATATCCCCACTCCATAATCTTCATCAGCTTCTCCCAAAGTCATCTCAAGTAAACATGCAATCTGAGTAAAACCTGGGTGCTTGCTATGCAAATACAGTATCTCCCCTTCCAATCATATTTGTTATTGTTATCGTCCAGTCGGTTCCGACTCATAGCGATCCCACGTACAACAGAAGGAAACGTTGGGCAGTTCTGCACCATCCTGACAATTGTTGCTATGTTTGAGCCCATTGCTGTAGCCGCTGTGTCAATCCATCTCATTGAGTGTCTTCCTCTTTTTCACTGACCCTCCACTTTACCAAGTTCATGCTGCTACCCCTAAAAGTCTCTTGAAGAGTCCCTGGATGTGCAAATGGATAAGTGCTGGGCTGAAAGGTTGGCAGTTTGAACCCACCAGGGGTTTCTCTGGAGACAGGCCTGACAATCTGCTTCCAAAGGTCATAGCCTTGAAAACCCTATGGAGCAGTTCTAATCTACACATGGAGTTGCCGTGAATAGCAATTGACTCCACAGCAACTAACAACAGCAAGTCCTTTCTATATAGAAATTACAGAGTTACTCTGGCATCATGTTTATTTTATTATGCTGTGCATTTATTAAGGCCAATTCTCATTTTGCAATTATCTCTTGATTATCTCCAAGATAAATCCATATGGTTTGTGATTGTTTATAGAACCGATACTCTCCCCCTTCCATGGCTGAGGGCTCTTTGGGTCACTGCCACTTGATTAATCTAGGGCCTCTACTGTCATTCTCAGCTCTCAGGGCCATCTCAATTTGTGAAGATTAAAATTGTTTCTGAGCTATATGGAGTGGAGCTTGAGTAGGGTTAAGTCTTGGCAGAGTGGAGAGGAGGAGGCAAGATAGTCTGTCTGATGGGATGGATAGGATATAAGTTTGGAAGAAACAGTAGACGTTCTGTTAAGTATTAATAGGGACAAAAATGCCCCAATTTCTTTCTGGAAATAAGTGAAAATAATAAAATATAAAGGATATAATATATATTTCTGTGGTTACAAATGCAGCTCATCTCCTCGTTGTACCTTTCATCCTCCACAAAAATCATCCTAATGCAAATCAACTTTTGGTAGGCCCTCTATTTGTCTGAGTTGTACCACCAAACACAATGTAGACAGAAATTCATGTATTTTGAGAAAATCTGTATTACACCACAAAAAGTTATGACATAAAAGTTTGGTTTGAGAAATTCTCAGTGATTTAGCAATATTAACGCATAGGGTTTTTTAAAAATTGGTTTAGTTTAAGCTTGTGACCCACAAGTGTAATAGAAATGTATACTTTTGGTAATTTATGAATATATAGTATTCTGCCAAAGTTCAGTTGTGATTGATATACAGCTGTTACTTAGTGCTAACATAAACTCTTAAGTAATCCTATTAGGATAATTTTAATACAATGAGATTTTGCCAGCATATCTTTGAGTACATCATCTTATAAAGAAATGCCATTTTAATTTACATGCCAAGTATTATTTTAATTTACTAATTTGGAGTTCTACATATATTCAAGTGAAGGGTGTTTCACCTTGATAATATACTTGGTACAGATAGTTGAAATTTATCCCCCCCACCCAAATTTCTGACCATATGGGCACAGGCAGAGCTGTAAAGAGCTCCAAGGATTTAAGTTCTCAGATTTTACCTGCCAGCCAACCATTTCAGCATGCAGTAGGGACACATGGAAGGCAGTTTAAAGTGAAGGCTTTTAAAATTTTTTTGCTACCACCCACTTGCTGTTTCTTACCCTTTTTTCTTAATGATTCAGAGAATCGACACTGTTGCTAGCTTACTACCTGTAGAGTCCTGCTAATCTTGATGGTATTATGTAATTATATAATCCCTTTGCATGGTGTCATAAGATGTTGTATCTATGTCCTCCCACACATGTGTCTTTAGAGTAGTTTCCTTCCATCTGGTGTTGGAAATGAGCTCCTTATGAGGTTATTTTTAAATCTTCAAGCTTTCTGGCATCCTCAGCACTTGAAATAACACAATTGCTTTTGAAGGAAAGAAAATCCACATAGTGTATTAGTAGCTTTTCCAGTGAGAATGTAAATAGTATTTTATTTTTATAACCATATCCTGTATTCCAAACAGGCAAACATGCATTTTATGTTTAGATAGTCTTCAGATAATTTTGTTAGGTAGGAAATAGTCAGTTGTTGCCAAATAGATAAATAAAAGGAGACATACTTATGAGAAAGGGGGCCAAAAATAAGCCTGTTAGAGGGAAGAGGTTTCAAAGATACCGTATTCTCTGAAGGTTTATTGATATCCTCTTCTGAACTCTTGCAGCATTTATTATATACATACACTATGTGTTGTTTTATATTTCATATTAAAGTGGTATTCTCCAAGGAGATTCTAAACTTCTGGAGGACAGAGGGTCAATACTGTAGCTTTCTTTGCCCATCCCATACCTACTACTCCTCTTCCCACACACCAATATTGCTTATTACAGTAGCTAGATATATAACATTGGGGGCACTCTTTTTTGTTGGTTTTAGCATCCATTGATCCTTGGGACTACAAATGAAGTCAGCTCTTGAAAATGAAATTGGAAGATTTAAATTAGGGTTTAGGGAATAACAGGAATATAATGAGTATCTTTTGGTAGAATAATACATAGGCTTTCTCTAATTCTTGCTAAATCTGATGTTTTGCATTTTATTGCTGATTTGTTCTTCAAAGGCATATCCATTAGAAATGTTGCTGTAGAGTCTGTTCTGACTCATAGTGACCTTATGGGACAGAGTAGAAGTGCCCCACAGGGTTCCCAAAGCTGTAATCTTTATGGAAGAAGACTACCGTGTTTTTGTCCCATGGAGAGGCTGGTGGGTTTGAACTGCCGACTTTTTGGTTAGCAGTGGAGCGCTTAACCACTGAGCCACCAAGGCTCCTCTAAAATTAGGCCAAGCCAGGAAAAGCCAAAGCCATTACCATCAAGTTGATTCCGACTCATAGCGACCCTACAGGACAGAGTAGAACTGCCCCCATAGGGTTTCCAAGGAGTGGCTGGTGGATTCAAACTGCCGGCCTTTTGGTTAGCAGCCATAGCTTTTACTAAAATTAGGCATACAGGGTTAAATTTTATTTGGTAGTAGAACATAATCACAGTAATAATTATATTGGCATTTGGTTTGTGCTTTGCTAAGGCACTTTTGGTTTTATTTTCTTTTATGCAGATGTACTTGTTTATTCTGATCATTAGGTATGTGTAATTAGCCTTAACCTTTCATTTCTTAACAACAATAGATTGATAGTACTTCTAATTGTCTTAATAATCTTTGAATTTTTGTTAATTTCTACAGTGTTTGTATAAAAAAGCTGATCATTTATTAGGTGCCATTCCATCACCTAAAGACAAAGCCTATGTAATTAAATAGGAAAGGTCGATGTCATCTACTTAACAAAATTGGTTCAATAATTCTCTTTTTCTCCAGATGCTATTTTTGTTGACTTATCTTTGCTAGCAGTATCATCTCTAGTATGATTATTAATGAACACTGGTTAATAAGAAATGTTTAATATTTCATAT